CATCCATTTCCCATCTGTAATTTTGACAGCTCCGAGTCAAGCTGATAAACAATTCATAGCTAAGGCTCACAATCACAGCACACCACAAGTACCATTCACTCACATCCATGCCGGCCTACAGAGGCTAACCACAGTAAATACACTAACACTGAAAATGGCTTCAAAGGTTTTTGACTGTGCACTCATTTAACAGGTATTCATACAGTTATTTTTATGTTTAACAACTATGATTGATGATTTGACCTATGACCCAAAAGATGCACTACAACTGTAGTTACTGCACGCAGCTATGCAGAGTGCAGTGAGTGTCTCATCTTTTTTCAGTATGAGTAAAACTGTTTTTATTTCTTACTAGATTCAATTTGTATTTTTTTTTATTTATAGATGTCTATTTTAAAAATAGAAACAGAAAATTCTAAGCACCTCTAAAGTATTATTGTGTGTAATATATGCTTCATCAGGTTTGACTTGAATAAAGTTTACTTGACATCATCATCATCATCATCTGCATTACTGAACCTGCTGTGGTCACTGTCACGTTATCAGTTATTTTGCCATCATTCATTCCCACGTTCACAATTTGTTGTAATATGCTTACTGTGTTTTTTCTTGACCTGATAGAATCCCAGATCTCTAGGTAATAAGGATGTCAATCGTCAACCGTTGATCAGTTAAGAGCTGAAAATATTTTTGGCCGGTTACAGGTCAGCCTACAGGTTGATTTTGCTAGTCTACAGTTTACCATAATGCACACCACCCAAATCTAGTGGGAGCGAGCTAGTGTTAGCAGCGCCGCTCATCTGGCCATTACTGCTAGTAAGACCATCCTGACCCAACAGCATTGCTGTGGAAACATGTGCCCACCCTCTACTGCTCTGTTACAACCCTAAGCAGTGGCTAGTGGTGCTAACATAGTTAACAGTGCTAAAAGGGTTTTGTGGCTCAAAATGACGCTGCTTACTCACCGGGGCACCCTCAAGGGGAAATAATGTTTATGCAGTAACACATTCTACTACCGTAACGGCATTAACAACTGTAATTGCCAAATGAGCAGCGCAGATAGCTAGCTACCATTAGCTTCCTCCCGACCCAGGGTGGTGCACAGTGCAGAGTGGCCAAGAAACCAGTGGAGACTGAGTTTGGCCTGTGAGCACAATTCCACATGCTAACGCAGCTGGTTGCCGGGTTATCAGTAAAGACAGCAGAAGCTAAAATAAAAAGCAGGACATTTACAACACAAAAAATTTTGTCACCTCTGAATGGATAGTGCTTTGAAATGCTGAATGAGTCAAAGGAGCACTGGGGTAAAAGGAAAGGCCTGTTGAATTTCAGTCTTTTTTTTTTCTAAAAATGAACTGGTTAGTTGTGGGTTAATGGATGTCAGCCTTTTGACTTGGACCAAACGTGTAGTTACTGTGGTTAGCCTTTGTGGGGCAGCATAGTTTAAAAGTGAGGAGCACTTAGCAAAATACTGGTCTCAATATACAGATAGCTGCCCTTGCCTCTGAGACAAAATGACACATTGCATTTTCAGGCTGTCAGATAAGACTCCAACGACATAACAGTTATTCCTATGCTGAATGTGAATGCATTGTACTTTGAAACAGCAAATACACCCAGCAAGCTTATAGGAAAAAATCATATAGCAATGGTCTTCGTCGTGCTACCACAGGAATTTAACAAGCATATCATAACATGAATCCATAATCACAGGTTCTGCTTTTGTTTCTGCCACTCTGCTCCCACTGTGAGGACAAGTTTCTGGAACTATATTTGGGCACTGCTCAGGACCTGTTACTAAATCTAAGCTCTCCATACTTTCAGGGGTTGCTGGCAGTGCTGTCCATCATGATTGGTCCCAGCATATGTGACATCACATTAAAACAAGGACAACAACAACAAGCAGTGACCACCATTCTGCTACATCTTTATGGAGCAGGACAGCTACTTTAAAGGCATACTGCACCTGCAAAAGAACCATCTGTAATCAAGGGTCCAGGCTTAACAGCAAAACTATATATATATATCCCTATATATACTGAGAAAATGGCAAAGGTAGCTTGCTACTTGCAAAGTTACTTTGATTTTTTGACTGTATGTCAAATCAGCGTTTTCTCAGTGATCAGAAAAAGTGTCAGCTAAACAGATAGGCAGGCAAAAAAATGTACATTTGAACTGTTAACTGTAAAATAAGACTTTCTTCTTTTCTCTTTTTTTGGAAGACATTTGAACACGTCCTCCAATAACATGACATCATCAGTCGATCTATTACTCCCTCTCTCTTTCTCTCTCCTCTTCCTACTCAGTGTAAGTAATTCAGTAATTCAAAAACAGAATCCTAAAATATATTTTTCAGTCAATAAAACCATAATAAATAAAAGACAATCACCAAATCAACAATAAAAATAACAGATCTACATTAAAACTTTCTTTTTTGGGACATTAGAACATGAACAGATAACACGCGACATCAGTATGTCACTCCCTCACCTCTCTTCCTTCTTAATACTGTTCTGTCTGTCAGCTTTTTTCTCAGCCCTTGTGTCTATTTCTCTGGTGTCCACCACAAATCCACTAAATATAAAGAATCTATGGGCAAGACATGTGATGGACATGTCAAGAAGTGTAATGTAGCCAATCAGAGGCAGAGTAGCGCGGGTCCTGCCAAGAAAAGCCAATAGCGAAAGCAGCAAGCACAATTAGTGTGTGATGTCATACAGAAGTATTTCCCTCATCTTCATGCCTTGGTGTAGCGCTGGCATCAGTCACATTAGTTATCCTCAGTTTTATTATCCTTACTTTTATCTGGGCCTCCATAGAAAAAAATGTCTGCCGAACTTCAAAGCTTTTCCTGGGAAAAGCTTGTAACTTTTGAGGACACTACCACGCTACTCGGTCAATTAATCAACTTCACTACTGAAAAGCTACTTGACTCAGAAATTAGTGATGTTACCACACCACACCACACCACTGAGAAATGTTAGGAACATCACTACTTGTAGTGACACTACTGCCCAGCACTGTTAAAAAAGTAAGGTTTTAGTGAAAATACATGTGTTTGGGAAATGCTGAGCATACGACTGGATAGATGAGACTTGTATTATACTGCATGAGTTGTGTGAGTGTTTGTAAATGGATGTTTTGATGTAGTTTTGATGTTGTTAAACCAGAATGCCATTTACTTCTATTTATGAGAGATGTTTGCCTTTTTGAAAGAAAATTTGAAAAAAAAGTTACTAACATTTTGTAATGTCACATGACATACATCATGTGACACACGTCACTACTGTAGCATGCTACACATACTAGTGCACTACGCTGTTGCTAACATAACTCAATTGACTTTTGTTGTTACACAGGGAAACAAACAGTGGACTCCTGGGTGAAAGTCTGGAGTTTGTTTGACCCATTCACCCTATAGTACTTTCTCGCTCTTTATACTACCGTAGTTGTCAATGGTGTTACAAACTGCTACCAGCCAGTGCATTTCATACAACTGCAAAGGGTGCCTCTGAGTGTCAGTGTCTGATGCTGATGTACTTTGACAAAGGGGCAGTATTTGACAAGTTGGGAGTGCACTATAATCCAAGTCCCACACTTCCAAAAATGTGCATTGAGTTTGTAAACGGATGTTTTGATAAAGTTTTGCTGTCATTAAATGCGGACCCCATTTACTTCTACTCATAAAGAATGTTTGCCATTTTTGGATTCTCCATTCACCATGAAGGCATGCGTAAAAACAAAGTTATGTTCATGAATTCAAGGTAACATGAGGTAAGAAACTGATATACAAATTGTCATTTTGCAGGTGAAGTATTCCTTTAAAACCAAAAACTATGCAAAACAAGACTAAGTGTTAGTAGTATTAATACTGTTTTGCTGTTACTGTTTTAAGGAATCAATTAACCTTTTTTTTTTTAAAGTGAAACTATGTGTTTGTGAGCTGCTTTTAAAAATGTGCGTCTGCAGTAGGAACTGACTGGGCTTGTGCCTGACGGGAGAGAAAGTCAGACAGCACTGACAGACAAACTCACACACTGGTTTGGGTCTTTTGATGGGAATTGCTGACATAAGAAAAATATAAAAATAACGCCTCCATTTCTCATGAACAAAAAAAAGGTTCAGTATATCTGGATCTAATAAGAGACTTAAACAGGAGGATAAAAGGAAGTAACAAGAAAGAGACTGGGCTAAAGCTGCAGTAAAGCAACAACAGTTTAAATGCTCATTATGAGTAGGCCTATGTATTAGTAGATGTATACACACACTGTCTGGCCGACCTCACACAGTTGTATCTGCTATAAAACACTGTTGGTGTGTATTCCCTGGGCACCTTGGCAGCGCTGCATTGTACCCTGTATTAAGTGGTCAAATCATATTCTGCAGACACTCTGCTTTTCTGGGCCTCCTTCCTCCTGTTGACTCACTGACAGCCGTTATGTAATTACTGCACTGAGGCCAAAAAATGGCCAAAGCATGCACACAGACGTCTTATTTTCTTCTGTCTTCCCCCCTCCTCTTGAGTCCGTTTCCCCCCGCCGCTAGCCGGGCTTCTCTGACACCGGGCTTCTCCGCGCATGCTGCGGCCGCAGATGCGTGCGCGGAATCACTAAACAGCCCTCTCTCATCTCATTCTCCATGTCTGTCTCTCTCTGTCTTTTTAATTCTTAGCCTCCGCCGGTTGTGACACCGCGGGGAAGTAGGCTACTTGATGCATACGGATTGGCTTTGACACATTGCGGATCTCTCCATGGTGCTGAAAAGGGAGCGGAGGAGGAGGTGGAGGATGAGGAGGAGGAGGGGAGGGGGGGTCTTTTTAGTTTGCTTCAGGAGCGGCGCTGCACCAAGTAAAGAGGCGAACCGGACTGACACGGATTTCTCCTCTCCTCTCTTGTTTGTTGGAGACTGCGCTGAAAAACTCGCCCGAAAAACTGTCACGTGGAGGCAGCCTGTGTCTCATACCGCATCGCACCTCGGGAGGATGTGGATAGGTAACTTACCATGTTGACTTCAGACACCATGTCAATGCTGGCGATGTCTATGCTCATGCCAACATCCACAGGGGCGCCTATTGAAAATATGACAGCGGAGTGTTAGTACGCATTAGACCCCAGCAGCCCTCAGCATCACATGTTAGTTCCATGAACACTGGCGGCTTTTACCTCCAAAATCAGGCCGCAGACGGATGTCATAGCCCTTCAGCAGTTTGTCCACGGTGGCTTTCACATATGACATGTTGCTAGGTTCGTTGGCGCTGTGGACAGAACATTGCAATTCAGGACTAGGACATGTTTTAGGGGCCTGTCTGAAACAACTCATGACACATGATGTTATTATCAGATCTCACCTTTGCGCCCCGCAGACTACAGTCGCCAGCAGGGACAAGCAGCAGACCCCCCAGCATCCGCGGTCCAGAGTAGTCCACATCACTAACTCCGATCCTGCCAACGACTTTGACACAAGATCTCAGGGATGCAACTTAGGCTGCAAAATTATTCCAAGAGCAACGCATGCGCGTCGTTTTATCAACATCCAAGCGTCAGTGGCAAGGTGAGACCAATTTGGATGAAAATGTAGCCGCGATGGGGGTAGGGAAAAAAAACAGCCTATAGGTGTGGAGACTTCACTTGGAGAGTGGAGGTTGGCGCATGAAGCGGCACATACATCCTCCCAGCCCCTGTGGATGTCAATACACACAGACAGACCACCCTCCGGCAGCACTCTCAGCTTTTTCCAGCAGACGCAGCAGTGTCCGGAGCAGATCTGCGTCAGGCTCGCCTTCCCGCTGCCGCTCAATTTGGAGACGTTAAATAATGAGCAGCGAGCGCGGCTCCCCGGTCACCTTTAGTAAGCCGGAGGAGTGAGAGAGAGAGTGAGTGTGTGTATGTGTGTGAAAGAGAGAGAGAGAGAGAGAGAGAGAGAGAGAGAGAGAGAGAGAGAGAGAGAGAGAGCGTCATGCAACACAAGCACGTCTGAGGAGATGCGCATTTTCGGAGCTCCGCCAGGCAGCAGCGGATCCCATTCACTTCGCGTCACGGGCTGCACACCAACTTAATTAATTGTTTAAAATCCCAGAAAATGCATTAAAAAATGCAACGCACGACTAACTGATGAGAGAGGAGATAAGATACGCTGTACGGGAGCTGAAATGGCTTCGGCTCCGACTGCAGGGCGTGAAGGGAATGGAGAAGAACTCTTCTGCATTTAACTCGTCAGAACACTGGCAGCAGAGTTACACCATTAGTTGTCAGCTATTGTCATGATGGCACTCAGATTTTGTTATTTTGTTAGTGAATGAAATAAAATGATTCCTCACACCCTCCTGCCACTCCTGGTAACATCTCTATATCTAAATACCTCAGGAACTCCCAGTGAAGCTTCTTTAAGAACTCCTGACAATGAAGGATTTCCTCAGCTCTTACAATCACCACACCTGCACCACCACAGCTTCCCCAAGGACCCCACAAATCTTTCCAGTTGGCTACCCACTAACCTCCTTGACTATAATTAATGTTGGATAGTACGTTTATAACATAGTCCCTGGCTCTTTCTGGCAACCCAGTCACCAGAATAAATGTTGGCATTGTAGGTTTCTGCAAACCATAGTCTCGAAGAAGTTAAAAGTAAAGCTTTTCAAGCCACCAACCAATTACTTCACACTGGACGAAACTGAAGGGAGAAATCTAGTTCGGATAACTAATGCGACAAAGTAGGGGAGACTGGGGTTGGTTGTCACAGGGCTTATAACTGCCACACTAAAGGGCGCTGTGACATTACTTTGATATCAAACAGTTGGCTCGCCATCCTGCTCAGTTTGCACTGGTCATTTTGTGGGACACACATAAGACATTGAGTGGGGTGAGAAGATATACAGTACAGGCCAAAAGTTTGGACACACCTTCTCATTCAATGCGTTTTCTTTATTTTCATGACTATTTACATTGTAGATTCTCACTGAAGGCATCAAAACTTTGAATGAACACATGTGGAGTTATGTACTTAACAAAAAAAGGTGAAATAACTGAAAACATGTTTTATATTCTAGTTTCTTCAAAATAGCCACCCTTTGCTCTGATTACTGCTTTGCACACTCTTGGCATTCTCTCCATGAGCTTCAAGAGGTAGTCACCTGAAATGGTTTTCCAACAGTCTTGAAGGAGTTCCCAGAGGTGTTTAGCACTTGTTGGCCCCTTTGCCTTCACTCTGCGGTCCAGCTCACCCCAAACCATCTCGATTGGGTTCAGGTCCGGTGACTGTGGAGGCCAGGTCATCTGCCGCAGCACTCCATCACTCTCCTTCTTGGTCAAATAGCCCTTACACAGCCTGGAGGTGTGTTTGGGGTCATTGTCCTGTTGAAAAATAAATGATCGTCCAACTAAACGCAAACCGGATGGGATGGCATGTCGCTGCAGGATGCTGTGGTAGCCATGCTGGTTCAGTGTGCCTTCAATTTTGAATAAATCCCCAACAGTGTCACCAGCAAAACACCCCCACACCATCACACCTCCTCCTCCATGCTTCACAGTGGGAACCAGGCATGTGGAATCCATCCGTTCACCTTTTCTGCGTCTCACAAAGACACGGCGGTTGGAACCAAAGATCTCAAATTTGGACTCATCAGACCAAAGCACAGATTTCCACTGGTCTAATGTCCATTCCTTGTGTTTCTTGGCCCAAACAAATCTCTTCTGCTTGTTGCCTCTCCTTAGCAGTGGTTTCCTAGCAGCTATTTGACCATGAAGGCCTGATTGGCGCAGTCTCCTCTTAACAGTTGTTCTAGAGATGGGTCTGCTGCTAGAACTCTGTGTGGCATTCATCTGGTCTCTGATCTGAGCTGCTGTTAACTTGCGATTTCTGAGGCTGGTGACTCGGATGAACTTATCCTCAGAAGCAGAGGTGACTCTTGGTCTTCCTTTCCTGGGTCGGTCCTCATGTGTGCCAGTTTCGTTGTAGCGCTTGATGGTTTTTGCGACTCCACTTGGGGACACATTTAAAGTTTTTGCAATTTTCCGGACTGACTGACCTTCATTTCTTAAAGTAATGATGGCCACTCGTTTTTCTTTAGTTAGCTGATTGGTTCTTGCCATAATATGAATTTTAACAGTTGTCCAATAGGGCTGTCGGCTGTGTATTAACCTGACTTCTGCACAACACAACTGATGGTCCCAACCCCATTGATAAAGCAAGAAATTCCACTAATTAACCCTGATAAGGCACACCTGTGAAGTGGAAACCATTTCAGGTGACTACCTCTTGAAGCTCATGGAGAGAATGCCAAGAGTGTGCAAAGCAGTAATCAGAGCAAAGGGTGGCTATTTTGAAGAAACTAGAATATAAAACATGTTTTCAGTTATTTCACCTTTTTTGTTAAGTACATAACTCCACATGTGTTCATTCATAGTTTTGATGCCTTCAGTGAGAATCTACAATGTAAATAGTCATGAAAATAAAGAAAACGCATTGAATGAGAAGGTGTGTCCAAACTTTTGGCCTGTACTGTATATTGTAAAAAAGATAAACATTTTTTATTTATTTGTTTTTTCCTCCCCCATTTGTGGCGCCCCCTCTGGATGACGGCACCCTTAACATTTGCCTATACTGCCTATACCACATCTGACAATGCAGATGTCACCTCGATCTTGTTGTCCACAGACTCCCGGTCCGTGACCTTTGACCTCTTCCCTGCTACCTGTTTTGCTAACTGTGTTTTTAATTTGATTAAACACATGTATAATTAGAAACATGGACCATTTGCGCTCAGTGTTGTTGCCACACTGTTGGCAGTGTAGTGTTTTTGCAGTTATGGGCTCTGCACTGTACAAATGAATGGGTGAAGCTAAGCAGCAGCAACCTGGATCTGCTGGCTGTTGGGAGGCTCACGGTGCTGAGATGAAGCAGTTCTGATGGCAGCAGTTACCCAGAAGGCAGCGGGACCTGTTTGGAAGCTGTCTGAGGCAGCAGTGGTGGAACAAACTCTGACTGACCATCATGATGCTGCAAAGAGGTCAGTTTGTTTCGAGAATGTCCAGGCTGCTAAAATCAAGAATTAGATTATGATACGTGTTTGTTTGTTTTTTTGTTTTTTTCCCCACCTTTGCAATGTGTGGATTCATCAGTGTTTGGTTAAAGCAGCTGTGCGGAACTTTTCGTTTTCGTTGATTATAGCGCCCCTTTGGTCGAAGTGGTATGACACATATGACACGTCATAAAATTCCGACTGCAGCCGGCAGTTACCGCATGCATTTGTTTTGGAGAGCGAGGGGATTAACTAACGTCAGGTCAGTCCAAGTAATTAGTGGAAACAGCAGAATTACTCAGTAAATTCTCCTGTCGTGTTTCTGTTCTGACCTAATCTAATCTGTTGTGTATTTTGAGCTACTAAGGCTACCGTAGTAGTGTGAGCCTCAAGTTATTCTGGGTAATGTAGTAACCGTTGTTGTGCTACTGGAAATAATGAGAAGCAGCCGTGTACATTCGGTGTAAGGAGGAATAAACAGTTAACAAGTCATCTGTTGAGTCCGCATTATTATGTGAAAAGAATACTCTGACGATTTGGGAGTTATGCCCTTTCTCTATCATTTTCATATTGAGACAACATGATGGATATCTTGGCGCTTGTAGGGGGTCAGTACATCTTGCGTGGAGGGATACACCGGTGAGCAACAGCTGCAGCTTGCTCTGGGACAGGTACGCTAGGTCACTCGGTAAAAGCAAACAAAGAGACGACACTGACGGTATTACTCACCTGACTGAAAGCTGTCCATCAGCTCCTGCAGGCCTGGACGTTTTTTCCAGTTCATCTTAGGAACATGAAAAAAAGTTTCAATCATGCCAGGATTAGTGATTGCTGCAAAGTTTTCACTCCTTGTGATGCACTCTCTGCGGCGCTTTTCCTCCTGATGATATATCTCCCCAATGATGATAGCACCAAGTCCCATTCTGTGCAGCAAAATGGGAGCAGAGGATTCAGCCTCTCTTCTCGCCTGCTCAGCATCCAACACATGGAGTTCCTCATCTGCGTACTCTGGCTCAAACAGGTATGGCTCTGGATCTGTGTCCGTTACAAGAAACTCTTCAAAATCGCGTTCAAAGTCGTCCATTGCAGCTACTATAGTCCGGAGATATCGCTAGGCTAAATAAACAGCTGAGTTTTGTTCAAGCTATGTCTGTGCCTGCTCACCGGTGTATCCCTCCGCGGATCACAGCGCAGGACGTACTGACCCCCTATAAGCGCAATGCTAACCGCTGAGACCCAGCCACTGGATGTACAGACACAAAAAAGATATCGATCATGTTGTCTCAGCATGAAAATGATAGAGAAAGGGCATAGCTCCCAAATCGTCGGAGTATTCTTTTATGTGAAGATACAGTGAAGACATAACATAATCCTAACTCAGCAAAGCTGTTACCTGCAGCCTTCACTTGCA